TTTCATACAACCTTCAGGTTTGCCATACATGCTCACGCGGAAGTATGTACTAGCACTATGTTTTTTCTTCAAAAGCTTGCAAAGGCGTAAGAATTTAAACAATTCGAAAATGAGGGCCGGACGATCATTGCCGATTAGCGATTTCATACAAGGTGGCGTTCCATATTTGTGACAGATTTCCACAATACCCCGTCGCTGACGCGCAAACTATGGGCATTCCACAAACTTGCGTAGTACTGGTCGAGGGCATACCCAACTCTCACAGGTAGGTCTTAGTTCTTGATCCATGAGGAAAGAATGGGTATATCTAGAATGTCCTAGTCGTAGTCGTAGTCGGCATAGGATGATTTCTTCGCGCCGGTTGGTCCTCGTTGGGAAGTTCCATTGTCCTACATTCCTCTTTACCACTTTCAGTGTTGTATGTGGTCCGTGCCAATGCCAGGTTTTGTTGAAAACATTTCTCATGGCGGAGTGCAAAGTCGGCAGGTACTCTCTATATCTTATTTGGGTTTTTAAGTATTTCGTTTAACAGCACTGCCGCTTTTTCCTGCGCACCTGCTATTTAATTTACTTCGATACCACAGTGACCTGGAATCCACACGATTTTAATCTCGTATCCTTTTTCCAGTAAACGGTGCGAGGTTCCAAAATATTTATCCCCATTGGATGGTTAGAAGTCGAATTTTCAGTGCAGTGACCACCGACAAAGAATCAGCGCATATTACACATTTTGGTATACCCTTGCTTTCCACATATTTCATTGCCTGAGGTAAAGCCACGGTTTCAACAACGAACGCTGAACAGTTTTCCGGCAGCTTAAATAAATTGAGCGTAGCTTTCTCCGTGGACGTAGGCACCGCCCACTGCCCAAGTAGTTTTTGAACCGTCCGTAGAAACATAAGTAACATCAGGTGTATCCATTCTTAGTTCACAAAGGTCATTTTGCATTTGACACACATTCAGAGTACTCTTATTTTCATTCGTGAGTTTTTTGGTTTCACATTTGCGTAGCTTCTAAGGTGGCATGGGACATTTATTTGACTCTAAGTCATGGGGAAGTCGAATTCTATCTCTTTACAGATGCTTGTCATTCTTTCGCACAGTGGAAAACCAGAGATTCTTTTCGTATATTCTCTTTCCACTTGGTGTGAAGAAGCCGTTTCAGTGGTAAGCCTCTGACACGGATGATTGTCCTCGCCCCGTGCCTTCATGCAGCATCTTATTGTCAATTCATGTCGTCGAAATCGAGGGGGAAGAATATCTGTTTTGGCCTGTGATGGAACGATAGGCGAAGTTCTCAACGCCCCCGTTGCTATACATAAGGACACATTTTGAATACGTTCTAATGACTCGATCGCTGTGTTATTGGGCCCATCTAGGATGGGGCATGCGTACTCCAAAGTGGGCCTGATCATTGCTTTGTAGATGCGTATGAGGGTGGCTCTATCCGTGCCACAACGTCGGCCAGCCAGACATTTTAGAATTGATATTCTTTTTAAAGCCCTTGCCTTGGTATGCTCAAAATGTTTATTCAAGTGAGTCTGGAGTCCAACATGACTCCGAGGAATTGTACATGTTCAGAATAAATCACAGGCTGGTCATGAATGCGCTGCACTTTGAAGGCGAAAAAAACAAGCCCCCAGTGGTCCACCCAGGCTCAATCGTCATCATACAGCACGTTGGACATATTTCTAGGGGCACCATTAAAAATGTCATTTATCGTGATGTTGAACAGAATAGGGAATATCACCCCACCCTGCACAAGTCTATTTTCTTGTTCATATATGCTGTAGAGTACACCGCATTGCACCTGGAAGGTTTTACCGTCTAGATAAGACTTTAGGTAATGCATTAAGTGGCCTCGGAAACCGAGCCGGTACATTTTCGTGAGGAGTGGCACCTTCGAAGTCAGGTTATATGCGCTCTTTAGCTCAAGGAAGACCGTTAATGCCTATTTATGGTAAAAAAAAACCTCTTCTGACCTCAGACTCCAGTCGAATTAGATGATCAGAGGTGCATCTTCCCGTCCTAGAAGCACATTGATACTCTGATATCATGTTATTTTCTATGCACCATGAAAAGCTTTTGGCCACCATCCTTTCCATTAATTTGCTGAAACACTGGGTCAATTGAATCGGTCTATACGAGTCAGATTTATCGCCCGGTTTGCCAGGCTTCATAATTGGAGTAATAGTGAAGTGTTTCCACTGGACCGGAAAGTTTTCCGAACATCATATATAACGAAACATTTTAAAAACTTCCTCTAACTCTTTGTGTCCGAAGAAAGCATAATTTATTTTATCTGGCCTATCGAGGCGTTTCTTTACGATGTAATGAACTGTTGGACCTCATCCATGGTGAAAACTGTGTTACATACCTCATTGTTGTCCGAAGAAAAATTTGGCACTTCTTGTATCAGTTCATTTCAACGCTGACACACTACCGGCCCAAAACGTCAGTCAGCTGACACACTGCTGGCCCAACACGACAGTCACCTGACACATACAGTCACCAGTCACACGACACGACAGTCAGCTGACGCGCTAACACCAGCTGGCAGCACAGAACTCGTTAAGCGTGCTGAGGAAGCACGAGTAGCCCCAACCGACCAGGGCCTCGCCCGCTATCGCCATACACCGCGCCTCTGGCTACGAGGCATCTCCTTACCCGCTGGCGCGAGACGCTGCTCTTCTGCCAAACAATGGCGCAGTCGTTAACCCAGGCATACCGTTAGGCACAGGCCAAGCCACGTGATCTGCTCAACAAATGATGGAAACGTTTGCGTGCCGTGAGACTGCTGTTGAACCACCTGGGGCTGCATGTTGAATAGCTGACATCATCAGTCAGCAAAACTGTCACTGTCAGTAAAACCTGAAGGAATGAGGCTAAAAACGTGGCTTATCAACACCGATCCAGTGGTATAGACAGCGAGGCACAGCCAACACGCTGCCTCTGGCCTACGGCCCCCCTCTCAACGTGCCTCTCAAAGTCCGGAGGGGCCAGAGAGCCCGGAGGAGCTGAAGATCAAGAGCCTGATTGGAGGGCCCGAAGATCCCGAAAGGTTGGTCGTAAGTTGTATTAGGGACCCCGACCTGTGGACCCAGCCCCTCACATGCTACTCAAAGGGCCTCTTGTATCGATTGGGACCCCGTGGCACATCGAAAGCCCCTATGTTGGCCAGAGGCCACCAGCACTAAACCTTCGGCTCCGTGTCGGACTGAGCCCTGGTTAAGCCTGGCGGCACTGGCCGCCCACTACAGCAGCTAGCAACACTGGACGGCGGGCACCGGACGCGCGGGCGCAGCCGTGTGCTGTGAAATATTTTCGAAAGTATTTCAAAAACATTGCTGCTGTTAAAACGTTAGACTGTGGCATATCTTTCACCTGTGAAATTTTAAGACATTCCTCTGCACGTATAAGCCGTTAAACCACCGATAGACATTCTACCATCAAGTTTTCGCATCCATACGTAAACATACACACATTTCACGATGGCATTCATTACGCATTACGAGTTCGTGGTGCCGAAAATGTGAATCCGTTCTTGTTGAAAGTCTGAAACTCGCAAAGGTAAAATATTCATCCCGGTCCTACCTGCTGAATGTGCGGTTTTATTTCATAACGGGTTCAGAGGTACTTATTTCTTACATGAGGTCGTTTTCACCTGGGTCCACGGGGCTTCAGCCCCCCCCCCCCCCTAACACATCGGATTCGAACGCAGCTCTTCGCCAAAATATTCTCAATGCAATTCCAGAATCTGTCAATCAGGTAAACTGGTTTGGTCTTGAATCATATGGACATTACCACCCGCAGCGGCTGGAAGCGCTCAGCAGCCGTAATTTGGCAGCAAGGCTGGCAGATAGCCGAGTCAAGATGCACTGTAAGCAGCTGAACAATGTTTTAAGGCCCCGGGACAAACTGCCATCGATAGTTCCTTCATCATTGACACGCTACGTGCTCACCTATTTACGTGTTTCGAGCATGCTAGTCTGTGCGCAGTGCGTGGGCAGGTCAATGACAATGGGCCAGGGGCTCGCTCGTAAAAAAACTACCCCGCCGTCGCAAAGAACGGTAACCCCTCCCCTGTGAATTCTGGCTCCACCCCGTATCCCCAGACAGATGACGTGCGCTGCTTATATCAATACACTTGTCCGACCCATTGTGATCTACAATTTACGTACAATCTACGGAACTCTCAGCATCTCTGGAACGCCGAAAATTGCAGCAAAGTATTCGATACTAATATCTTGATAAAGGGTCCTCTTAACCAATATAACATAAGTAGCTCCGGTGCGATGGTTTATTCGGTGCAGTCCGATGTTTATTCGGTGACTGATTCTTTCAGTTTATTGGCTTCACAATAGAGCATGACTTGCTTCACAATGCAGCATGACTTGCTTCCTCCACACTCCACTGTTTTCCGGTTTGTTCTAGATAAAGAAAGCAAGAAAGTGCTATTTGTGCTTGATATGTGCTATTTTTAACAAAGAAGTGCCTGCCACGTTTTATGCAAGAGCTTAGCCGACAAACAGTAAACAATGTGAAATGTCCGACAGGTGAATGCAAGACATTACAACCACTGCACGTGGCTGTACCGAGCGCCCTCTTGTTGCCACACGCGCGGCGAAAGCCAGCCCGAAGCCATGGAAAGAATGGCGTCGCCATCCAATCCGTCTCTCTTTGTAATCCTCTCGTCTCGCCCCAGTGCACTGTTCTAGAACCCCGCCAGTGTAACGGCCTCGTGCGAGCGCGCTAGAATCCCACCAGTGTAACGGTCTCGTGCGAGCCCGCTAGAACCGCGCCAGTGTAACGGCCTCAGGCGAGCGCGCTAGAACCCCGCCAGTGTAACGGTCTCGTGCGAGCGCTCTAGAACCGCGCCAGTGTAACGGCCTGGTGTGAACGTGCGCTCCTTGCTTCTAGAGCGGGGAGGAGCTGGCGGCTGCAGCCATGCTGCGGTCGGCGCTGCTGGTGACCGGTGTCGCCGCTCTGGTGGCCGACAGCGAGGTTGCCTGCCCCGCCGGTTGCCGCTGCACGGTGTCGCCGACGGCGCGCTCCGGCCAGCCGCTGCGCCAGGTGGTCTGTCGCCAGCGGGACCTGGCCGCCCTCCCCGACGCCCTGGACAACGGCACGCAGGTGCTGGACCTGTCCTTTAACCGACTGCGCGGTGGCCTGGCGCAGCTGGGCCAGCTCGACCAGCTGCGCGAGCTGCGGCTGGACAACAACCGGCTGCAGGCGGTGCCGCGCGGCGCGCCGCTGCGCCACCTCCGCCAGCTACGTGTCCTCAGCCTGGCGCGCAACCAAATCCGCACCGTTTACCGGGACACGTTCCGAGGGCTGGGCCGGCTGCGGGAGCTGGTGCTGGCCTCCAACCGGATTAGCTTTATGGAGGAGGAGACGCTGGCCGAGTGTACAGCGCTGACGGCCCTCGACCTCAGCGGCAACCTCCTGACAGCCCTGCCGGCCGCGTGGTTCCGCCCGCTCGTCAACACCACCACGCTCAATCTGTCGTACAACCGGCTGCATCACGTGGCCGCCAACGTGTTCGGCGCGATGGCCGCGCTGCGCTGGCTCGACCTGACCGGCAACCAGATCCTGAGCCTGGACGCGGGAGCGCTGCGAGGTCCGACCGCTCTCGCCATGCTCAACATCAGCCGCAACCGGCTAGCGGTCGTGCCTTCCGCGGCGCTGAGCGGCGCCGCCGGTCTCGACCTCGTCAACCTCGGCGGTAACCCGCTGACCAAGATAGAGGCCGGTGCCTTTATCCGCCTGGACGTGCGGGAGCTGCAGCTGGCGGCGCTGCCTGAGCTGCAGCTGATCGACGACGGCGCCTTTACCGACCTGCCGCGGCTGGCCGTACTGTGGCTCTGTGACAACACGGCACTGCGCTACGTGGCGCCCGGGTTTGTGGCGCGCGCGCCAGCGCTCCGCCGCCTCCTGCTGCACAACACCAGCCTGGCGAGCCTGGCCGGCGCGTGGGCGGCCGGCGCCGCAGCGCTGGAGCTCTCACTGCACGACACGCCTCTGCGCTGTGATTGTGTGCTGGCCTGGCTGGCGTCCGGCGGCGGCGGCAGCGCGCGGCTAGCGACACCTGAGCGGACGCGGTGCACGGCGCCGCCGCCGCTGCGCGGCCGTCGGCTGGACGAGGTGGGCGCGGCGTCGCTCGGCACCAGCTGTGGTCCGACGCTGGTGCCGCTGGGCCCGGCCGAGCGCCGCCTCAACATCGGCCAGCCGCTGACGCTCGAGTGCCGCGCCGCTGGCCGGCCCGAGCCGCGCCTGCGCTGGCTGCCGCCGCACGCCAACGCCAGCCGTCCGTCCGGGACGCTCGTGCTGCGCCATGTGCACGAGGCTGACGCTGGTCGTTACTGGTGTCTGGCGGAGAATTCGCGCGGCTCCGATAACACCTCGGTGCTAGTGCGCGTCCAGGAGATGGACATCCACCTGTTCGCTACCGGCGTCTCGTCGCGCTTCGTCACCCTCGTGTGGAACGGCACGGCGCGTAACAACTTCCCTCAGTACGAGCTGATGTACCGCGCGGTGGCGGACGACTCAGCCGAGAGCGGCGCGGCGGAGGGCGGCGACTACCTGTCGCGCACCGTCACGCCCTTCAGCCGCTCATACACCATCAGCGCGCTCCAGCCAGACACGCGCTACCAGTTCTGTCTCAGCTACCACGACCGCCACGGCCGGCCCGTACGTATCTCGTGCACGCACGTGCGCACGCGCGACGCCAGCTTCATGTCACAGGGCATCCGACGGGAGTGGCCGGCAGCGGCGGCAGCTGTGGCCGGTGTGGCGGTGTTGGTGTTGGCCGGTCTGACGCTGCTGGCCGTGGCGGCGCGCCGCTACCGCAGCCGACTCTACGACGACGTCGACAAAGACACGGCCAGCATCCCGCTGGAGAACTTCTACAGTCCGCTCATCAGCCAGCCGGGCAGCAGCTGACAGTCGCCGTGCGGCGCCGGCCGCGGCTCGGCGCCCTGCTCGCGCCAATGCACCCCGCGGCCGACGCACCGCACACGCCGCCAGTCGACGCCGGCCGCCGGGCCCCGCCTCCACACATCGCGCGGCCCGTCCCGCCAGCCGCAGTGCGACTGTGCCAGCCTGCGCGGGACACCCGTCCCAGCGCGCCGTCCAACAGACGCCAGCGCCACCGGCGCCCAGCGCCCGACATCGGCGGCGCCTAAGGAGCCGACAGGTGTCGCTGTGTCGCAAGGAGACGTCGCCGACGGCATGGTCATGCGCACTGACCAGTCAGTGGCGGACCCAGTCGATATCGAGACGTTGCCTATTATTGATCAGGAGCTGAAGAGCTAGGACGGTGGCTCAGTCGCGACCGGCACGTCCGGCGGAGCTGCTGGTCCCGGCGTATAACCTGAACATGGACTGCGACTTCCGCACTTAAGCACCAAGTATTAGTGAATTAATGTGCCAAACACTACGCTTAACATTCGATGCACCAGCGCTTTATAAATGCACAGGAGAGGTTGGATGACTTGTTTGCTGCTGCGTTGCTGTGCGGAATGGATGAAAACGAAAAGGATGTAAAAAGTGGTTCTTAATAAAGGATGGTGTTTCGGTCTGTGCTATTTAATAGATCACCATGTCAGGCGAAGATGAGGCTGCCAGGCCTGATAGGCAGCCTGTGTTGTTCCCACCTCTGAGAATTGACAGTACGACCAATGTTTGCTCAATGCCTTCGTTGCATCAGTACCTCCTGCTGCACTGAAGGTCGATTATTGTCAGTTGTTGTCAGCTTGTAAGAACATAACGCCGAAAAACCAATACCCTGATGTCGTCCTTGCTTCCATCAATCATTTGACGTCATTGCATCTGTACCGATTTCCAGGCGCTGCCTGTTACAGCAGACGCTGCTGCGGCACAGCTCCGCAGGGCCGGGGCCTCGGCGCCGCGGGCTGGGGCCTCGGGGCCGGGGCCTCGGCGCTGCACGCACGGGTTTTCCGGCCGAGTCCCTGACATTGTCGGAACCCAACCTAATGGAACCGCTGCGGCTGATGTCATCGAGGCGAACCAACGCGACGGAGATTTCAGTCAGCTTCCCGCAGCGCGAACAGGAGTCACCAAACGTCTACTGTAGCAGTCGATGCAGTTACGAATACGCACTAAGTTCACCTAACTTTGGCGCTGTGGCACCAGCCTTGGAACCCTACCCTCCCCAAGGCTAAGCAAATGTTGTGCCAGACAACCTTAAAAATGCACGCGCTATGTTTCTGCCTGACTTGAGCGTCATTGCCCAAACTCTTGCAGCATCCCTGCAGCAGGTGACAATGGACAAACGTAAGGACACATCAGTCAGCTGGCAGACGTAAGGACACATCAGTCAGCTGACAGACTAAGAATACATCAGTCAGCTGACAGACGTAAGGATACATCAGTCAGCTGACAGACTAAGAATGCATCGGTCAGCTGACAGACGTAAGGATACATCAGTCAGCTGACAGATTAAGAATACATCAGTCAACTGACTGACGTAAGGATACATCAGTCAGCTGACAGACGTAAGGACACATCAGTCAGCTGACAGATTAAGAATACATCAGTCAGCTCACAGACGTAAGGATACATCAGTCAGCTGGCAGACGTAAGGATACATCAGTCAGCTGACAGATTAAAAATACATCAGTCAGCTGACAGACGTAAGGATACATCAGTCAGCTGGCAGACGTAAGGACACATCGGTCAGCTGACAGATTAAGAATACATCAGTCAGCTGACAGACGTAAGGATACATCAGTCAGCTGGCAGACGTAAGGATACATCAGTCAGCTGAAAGACTAAGAATACATCAGTCAGCTGACAGACGTAAGGACATATCAGTCAGCTGACAGACTAAGAATACATCAGTCAGCTGAGACCAAGAACACATCAGTCAGCTGACAGACGTAAGGACACATCAGTCAGCTGAAAGACTAAGAATACATCAGTCAGCTGACAGACGTAAGGATACATCAGTCAGCTGACAGGCTAAGAATACGTCAGTCAGCTGACAGACGTAAGGATACATCAGTCAGCTGGCAGACGTAAGGATACACCAGTCAGCTGACAGACTAAGAATACATCAGTCAGCTGTCTGGGGATGGACGGGTCTGTCTGGCGTGGTCAGAACACACGGGGCGACGCCAGGACAAGCACTTGCTGCGTCATGACAGCCGCCCCTGACGCCGGGCACCGAGGGCCGGACAGAACCGCACAGCAGAGGCTGGTGCGACTGCATGAAATGGGACTCCTGGGACTCCACGCGGGACGAAACACCCGAGATCGTGTGCTGGTGTTACCCCACTGAGCTACATCAGACCCTTATACCCAAAGACACCACTTAAACATAACCGGCCAAAACGGCATCTAATGATTTTAGCAACTGATAAGATAAGCCAGACGGATTAAGGAAGACAACAGTCTAGTCCATGGACCCCAAGCTATTACAGCTTCAGTGTTGCCAATGCCATGTTAACCATGGCTGTTGACTACCACGCCGCACAGCGAGCTGATATCGCGCGTCATCCGGCCCTCATTCTGATAACAGGACTCTGCCATTCAACCATATCACTACTAGCAGGACTCTGCCATTCAACCATATCACTACCAACAGGACTCTGCCATTCAACCATATCACTACTAACAGAGCTCTGCCATTCAACCATACCAGACCGCAATGTACTCTCAAAACACTTTCATACGGCATGAAGCGATCGTAAGTTCAAATACCGGCGAATTTAACACTGCATACTGGTCCTTTGCGTGTTGAAGGCACTGACTAGTGACTGTGAGCTGCCTATATCGTGCTTGGTGATTCAGATTACGCCCTCCCCTGCCACTCACCCAATGCCCTCGGAGGCGGGCCAAGTAGCACCAGCGTGTCATTCGCACGTGCGCAGCAGAAACAGCGATCCAGTTGGTACACAATTGTACTGATGGAGTTCGCGATGAAGACCAGCTGCATACTCCGTCATTGACAACCGAGTACCGCCAGTCACGGCCGTCACCGACAACCGAGTACCGCCAGTCACGGCCGTCACCGACAACCGAGTACCGCCAGTCACGGCCGTCACCGACAACCGAGTACCGCCAGTCACGGCCATCATCGACAACCGAGTACCGCCAGTCACGGCCGTCGCCGACAACCGAGCACCGCCAGTCACGGCCGTCATCGACAACCGAGTACCGCCAGTCACGGCCGTCACCGACAACCGAGTACCGCCAGTCACGGCCGTCACCGACAACCGAGTACCGCCAGTCACGGCCGTCACCGACAACCGAGTACCGCCAGTCACGGCCGTCACCGACAACCGAGTACCGCCAGTCACGGCCGTCACCGACAACCGAGTACCGCCAGTCACGGCCATCATCGACAACCGAGTACCGCCAGTCACGGCCGTCGCCGACAACCGAGCACCGCCAGTCACGGCCGTCATCGACAACCGAGTACCGCCAGTCACGGCCGTCACCGACAACCGAGTACCGCCAGTCACGGCCGTCACCGACAACCGAGTACCGCCAGTCACGGCCGTCACCGACAACCGAGTACCGCCAGTCACGGCCGTCACCGACAACCGAGTACCGCCAGTCACGGCCATCATCGACAACCGAGTACCGCCAGTCACGGCCATCATCGACAACCGAGTACCGTCAGTCACGGCCGTCGCCGACAACCGAGCACCGCCAGTCACGGCCGTCATCGACAACCGAGTACCGCCAGTCACGGCCGTCAGACCGATCACATCCGGACGGGGGATGCAGTAGTGCGATGCATGCTGACGTCGTCCACCATACAGGGGGCGGATCTGCGTCAAACAAACATGCACGGGCTGCAGACCGTCGCGCACGGAGCCGATGATAATATATGTGGTGAACAGGTCCGCTGCAGACCGTCAGGCACGGGGCCGATGATAACATATGTGGTGAATAGGTCCGCATTTATTCACTCCCACTTTCACGACTTTGGAACATCACCGCTTGACATTGCCCACTCCACAAAACAACGGACGCCCCAGATGCGAGCCCCGAGCGCCCCGAACAAGGGGCTTGTTCAAGCACGCAGATAGAAGTACATCAGCCCAGCTGAATTGCGGGCAGCCATTGCAGCAATATATTTGGAGACTGTGGGAAAACACGATGCGGACAAAATGCCCGCAAACTACAGCGAAATACCATTAACAGGATGCTCGCTCGCCGCGTGTCATATGTCAACGTTTAGGTGTCTACCGCGCCTGATCCAGCCCGGGCACTGAACGCTACAATGGCACAGCAGGATTACTTTGAAGTTGGTAGGGTACTGCACTCAGAGGAACACAGCTTTGTCTGTCATAAAAACTCTGACAACTCATCTGGGCTCATTTAAGTCTGGCAAGCCGGTTGTGTCGATATTTTCCAAGTTGTTTTCAGCGTTCCTGTAACGACACCTGAAGCGTTGGAGCGTCGCGAGCCGACAGGGTCATCTCACGTGGTGCAGCGTCGCGAGCAGGCCGGGTCATCTCACGTGGTGGAGCGTCGCGAGCCGGCAGGGTCATCTCACGTGGTGGAGCGTCGCGAGCCAGCAGGGTCATCTCACGTGGTGGAGCGTCGCGAGCCCACGGGGTCATTTCGCACGGTGGAGTCGCCGCGGGTTTCCCAGCGAGCCGGCCCGAGCAGCTAGCTATCCGGCTCCGAAGCCGGCCCGAGCAGCTAGCTGTCCGGCACGCAGATGGACTTGGGCAGCTAGCTGTCCGGCACGCAGATGGACTTGGGCAGCTGGCTGTCCGGCACGCAGATGGACTTGGGCAGCTAGCTGTCTGGCACGCAGATGAACTTGGGCAGCTAGCTGTCCGGCACGCAGATGGACTTGAGCAGACGGAAGCTCTCTGCGTAGCGCAGCTCGTTCCTGGCGGCGGCGGCGTGCCAGCGGTCACGCACGCCGCGCCAGCGGCTCAGGTGGTCAGCCAGCAGGCTCGTCTTGTGTGGCGCGTCCTCCGCCTGCGGACAGCCGGCAGCCGTCAGCAGCGGACACGAGGGCAGCGTGGCCGTCAGCCCAGGCCAATTAACAATGTGCAGCTACCTGACCCACACAAGCGTGGAGGATGTGGGCCTGCGGTACAGAACACAAGGACCTTAAGCGACGCAGCAATGTTTGCGGGATTTAAAAGCGTAATGACCCAAGGTTACGTGTACGTCATGCGTCGCGATACGGTCGGAATGGACGAGCGCTATCCGCTTGATGTGGTCGGCCGACGAACTCAAATACGACTGCACGGAGTATAATCTGTGATGAGCTACGGTGGAATCTAGTTCAAAGAAGACCAATGTTCCACATTGTGACCTCATGTGATCAACATGGTTCAACTTTTTTGTGCCACCATTTTGTCTTAGGCCTACATGGCGGCTGCGCCGCACTACTCAACTATCCCATTCTTACCGCATGTTTCAAAATTTCGCTGATCGAGATGATAACATGGCACCAAGAATAGCGTGTGTCATAGCTGTCCCACTCAATGTGGACCCTGTGCCGCCAACTGAGTTAATCGCGGCCTTTACTCGAGATCAAAGCCAGATGACATTTGGGCTATCTACCCAAGGCCACCGGCACCAGACCTTGTCGTGCTGATCAGTGTTTTGTTTGGGACTGAAAAATAAAGCAGGGCCGGAGGTGGTCAGGTCTGAAGGATCCGAACTGCCGCTGCAGGCACTCGGCGTCGCTCTACGTCAGCTGGCGGAGCGACCCACGCTCGAAGCGGCGCGGCGCCAGTGGCGCTGTGGACCGGTGCTCCAGACATCGCTCTCACGCGGGGCGCCAGTGGCGCCGTGGACCGGCGCTCCAGACATCGCTCTCACGCCGCTCGCCCTCCGCGGCCAGCTGGCGCCGGCTAGAGCGAGCCGTGCTCAACACGGGACCCGGGTCACTGCTGTCGCTGGCGCGCTACGAGACTGCCGGTGAGCTGTCGTTCAAGTCGCAGTGCTCTGGCGGTGTGGAAAGCTAGTCTCTGCGCAAAAGCAGCCAGCCTCACAGGCTGACAGCCGTCCAAATCAAATATTGAGTACCATTTCCTATGGGACATCAGCTCGCGCCAAGTCGATCATAAACGTACACCTTTGGCCCCAGCCTATCTCGATTTTCGCGAAACTTGATGAAGATGACGCCTCTGTGAGACGCCATCATATCATATTTGTGGCCAGACAACGACTCCAAGCCCTACTAACATTGCGCACCACCATCACAGCTTGACAATGTTAGCACCTTGCTGCACCCAAATCCTGGTCCCTTCAACAGCGCAGGGATTCTGTTTTATAACGCGACACCATAGGTTGACCTGACCAACATGTTTATGTTTTGGCTATCTTACATCGGTTCAGTTATTTTGTTTTATATCATATACATACTTAATTGGCAGCGTGATAGTACAAGATTTCGAGGCATATAACAACTTTTTGGAAAATCATTGCTGGTAGATTTTTATAATAGCTTTACATGTCCTTTGTCCCCATCTTTTTCCAGATTTCACACTACCGAGTCCATAATACCATGTAGATTTTTTAAATCAGTTGATAGCACAGACTGCCCTACATCATATTGATGCAGGTTCTGCTCAGATATAACGTCTGCTCCACCACGTGTACTGTGTTGTTGTGCACGGGGCAGATGATCCAGGTCCACTTTGACCACGGCGGGATCCGGAACACTATTCAGCGTTCTACTGGGTGACAGGACAGTAACGGTCCACCCAGGGCTATAGTGTCAGAACAGTGACGGCTCATACAGGGCTAAAGTGGCAGGGCAGCGACGGTTCATCCTAGGCTACAGAGGCAGGACAGTGATAGCCAATCCGAGGGCCTAGTGATAGGACAGTGACGGCTCATAGAAGGCTATAGTGTCAGAACAGTGACGGCCCATAGAAGGCTATAGTGGCAGGGCAGCGACGGTTCATCCTAGGCTATAGTGGCAGGACAGCGACGGCTCATACAAGGCTAGAAGCCGAAGCCTTCGGCTTCAGAGCCGAAGCCGAAGCTACGGCATCCCTGGCCTTGGACGCCCTTGACCTTCAAGGGCCCTTCAATGATAAGGTCAGAGCCGAGGCCAGTCTTCGCGGGCGCACTCGCACTTCGCCTTCTTTTCTACGGTTGCGAGGGTCTGTACAGGTAGCCGGCGCGCCCTTAAGTCCAGGTCATCATCAACGAAGGTCTGTAACTGGTCGGCTAATGGCCGGCTCACCCTGGCCATCTGCATCAGTGGCCGGTCTGTGGGAACGGCGCCGCTCAGCCGCCTCTGGTGCTCTCCCGTGGGGAGCATACCACCGACTGGTGGCCATGTTATATACAACGCCTCATCTCACCTGAAAGGTGAATGGCTCCCACTGGGACAGTGAATGGCTCCCGCTGGGACAGTGAATGGCTCCCACTGGGACAGTGAATGGCTCCCGCTGGGACACGCGAGCGTGTTCTCTGCATCGCACGGGTTCGGTCCTCGCTGAAGGGCGGCTCGCACCGACTGGCATTTGAATAGCATGGCGCTGGCAGCAGCACAATTCGCCGAGAACCAGACCGAGGCGGCCTCCCGCCGCTCACCAGGCCAGGGGATGCACACGCTAGTAACCAGCGCGGCGACGGTGCAAGTACCGACAACAGCTTCCATTTGGTCAAAGAAATGGCTGAACGAAAGTAGGCCACAAGTGACAAATGAGAGTGAGGGCATATCGACGAATGGAAAGGACGGCGAAAATACATAACTGAACTGATGTCAAGCATGCTGAGGATGATGGGCTTCGGGCCAGAGCATGACTGGCTTTGGGGCACGCCAACTGCATTGGTAACACGACACTTATAACTTGCTTCTTATTCAACAGATGAATAATAACAGGAAGGAGACAAAGTTATGTCACATGGCCATACATGTGACACGGAACAGCGCATCATCGAGAGAATGGCCGTCCTCAAAAACACTCCAATCATCCCCAGGATTCCACAGAGCGTTTAGCACGCAGCGGCCCACCGCCAGAACACCGGGGCCGATCTTCCCAACGGTGAGCATAAGTGAGTTGCGTATATGTGCCCTAATCTGAAACGACACAGCATCCCTACCTACCGTTTCGCCTTACGACAGCTGGACGCCCACGGCCTCGGCCGAGCCTTTGGCACCATCAGTCTGCTAGCGGCATGCGATCCCAATTTATGCGTCAGTGCGCACGCGCGAACGCAGCCACTGCTGCCCATAGGTCGTTAGCAGGGACGGGTATGGTGGGGATGTGGCCCACCATAGCAGGGACTGGTATGGTGGGGATACGCTCCCCCCCCCCCCCTCCCCGCCCCTCGCTGTGGCACCAGCTAGCTAGTTACCTTACATGCCAAAGTGGCTCGTTATCGAGCAGGACACTGTAAGCTTCTTCGAACGCGAGCGTGCATTGCCCTGTCTTGCGACAGTCTCATGCAGTGAGCCGCAGTCATTTTGCTAGAAGTGAATACGTATGGAGCCTGTGGTGCATACACACTGTGATCGAAGTAACTAATGGACGCCATGCCGGGTGATCAAAGTTCATAGTTGTGCATTGTTGCCCGCTAACTTGTCACCTCAACAGAACTTCTGGAGGTGCAGGTTCTGGTGGACTCATAATGAAAAGCATATCAATCGACGCGCCGTTGTCGATTCAAAGGAAGCAACAATAAATCGGACTGGGGTCATTATGGTGGCACCGGGAACAATCAAACACTGACCAAACCGGTCACGACATGTTTCTGGTGTATCAGAACCCTAAAATGGTCAATTTTCAGCTTGTTTTTTTTTTCTATCGGTCTCATGTCTGATCCGTCGCACATCTCGTCTTTACTTGCACCAGGGACAAGACCACAGAGCACATCTCGTCCTTACTTGCACCAGGGACAAGACCACAGAGAGACCACGTCACGTCGACTGGTACGGCTGGCGGCGATCAGAGGCGGCAACTGTGGTTGGTGGGTTTGGCTGGTGGTTGGTGGGCCACAAATGGACAATTTCGAACTGCGCTGAGCCGTGGGTCATGATACTCTTGGCCCACATGCCCCCCAGTAACCACGACCTGGCTGCTTCTCTCAGTGTCCGCCTGAGATGCCGCTGAGAGATACAACCATAGATAATCACAACAGTCTGTACAGCCTGTAACAACACATTTCAATGCACTTCATGGCATCGACTTACATGGCCCATCACCTATGCATCCGCCGAAATTTGCTAACATTGTCACGACAACATGCATATCCGTTCATATTCTTTTGGTACCATTTTATTTCCTTTTTTGCCTTTGCAATGTGGCCTGGCTATGTGTTGAGAACCTGGACTTCAACGTATGCATGATCCTAAGTCCAGGTCTTCGCCAAGGTTCTGGGTTACAAGCATTGTCTAAGATCCGGACTCCACCCGTATTGCGGACAGAGATCGACCAGTTCCGTGACAGCACCAGTTACCACCAGCAGTTCATTGGCGTGAAGGAATGTTCGTGGCGGATACGATTTAGGAAGGTACGCAATTCATTGTTCTGAATGTCAGTTAATAACCTTGTTAGCGTGAGAGCATGGGGAAAGGGAAGCCACGCGTAGGTCATAGTCATGCACCTGACCGCACGATGGCAGGTTTCACTTCCATGCCTGAGCTGCCCCGGGAACTGCTGTCACGGCTGGTCAGCCCTGGCCGAGTGTGAGCTGCCCCGGGAACTGCTGTCACGACTGGTCAGCCCTGGCCGGGTGTGAGCTGCTCGCAATGTTTTCACTGGAAGCATTTGGCTACATACTGAGAGGGATCTGGTAGTCATTGGTGGCGATTGTTAAACAAGCCCCTGTCACGTGATCGAGATGAGTCCGTCTGCCTGGAGCCGAGAGCAGGTGTTGGCTGGAGGTGCGGCCACGTGACGGCAGGGCCGACGGCGCGCTCAAACCTTGCTGGGGTGAAGCTCGGCCGGCCGAACGGCGGCCGCCGGCGGCTGTAGATCGGCAGGCAGGCGCAGGTCCGCCGGGTGGCCCGACTCGTCAAGCGGCGCGAACACGGGCGCCGGTAGCCGGAACACCAGACCGGACTCGGCGGCCGGCTCCGGGTGCTCTTCCACCGGCTCCCTCCTGGTGGCGGGGGGGGGGGGGGGCGGGGGGTACGCTCAGCGGCGCCGTCCGACACAGCTGTAAGCAGACATGACAGGGTACACTGGACAGAACACGACCACGGCTAACCAGACACCAGAGCGGCCGTCGGCGGGCATGACAGGGTACAATGGACAGAACACGGCTAACCAGACACCAGAGCGACCGTAGGCGGGCATGACAGGGTACATGGACAGAACCGGCTAACCAGACACCGAGCGGCGTCGGCGGCAGAGGTACAATGGACAGAACACGGCTAACCAACACCAGAGCGCCTCAGCAGCATGACAGGGTTACGGACAGAACACGACCACGGCTAACCAGACACCAGAGCGGCCGTCGGCGGGCATGACAGGGTACATTGGACAGAACACGACCACGGCTAACCAGACACCAGAGCGACCGTAGGCGGGCATGACAGGGTACACTGGACAGAACACGACCACGGCTAACCAGCACCACGCGAGTAGGCGGGCATGACGGTAACTGGACAGAAAGCCACGGCAGACACCAGAGCGAGGGGGCTACGGTACATTGGACAGAACACGACCACGGTTAACCAGACACCAGAGGACCGTAGGGGGCACATGACAGGGTACCAGGGAAAGAACACGACCACGGCCTAACCAGACACCGAGCGGCCGTCGGCGGGGGGCATGACAGTGGTACATTGGACAGAACGCGACCACGGCTAACCAGACACCAGAGTGACCGTCGGCAGCCATGACAGGGTACAATGGACAGAACACGACCACGGCTAACCAGACACCAGAGCGACCGTCGGCGGGCCGCACCGCCGCACCCGGCCGACAGCCGACGGCGGGCCCAGGCGTGCGGACGTACTTGGGCGCGGCCAGGCTGGTGTTGGTAGGATCGTTGGCCATCCAGGCGCGGCAGACCGGGTATAGGGCCGTGCTGGGCCCGAACTGAGCCAGGTTTACGCTGCGGTCGAACAGCTTCATGACGTATGTATCGTGGTAGCTGCCCACAGGCGTCTCCCGTCGGCGGCGCTTCCTCACGACGCGGCTCGGTGACGACACGTCCCTGCCGGGCGTCCGGGGGCAGTCCACAGGCGCTGCACATCTGCCGCACCCACCGACAGCCTGACCTTGCACCTCTTGCATTAGGAAATGAGCAAAACGCCCTTTTGGCAGACCAATCAATGCAGGATCCTGCTACAGTGCACCGTGATAAGCTAGCATTGAAGAAGTACAATAATGTCATTTCACCCACATCCTAAAAGGGCAGTAGTGACACAAAACTGTGTGACCTATCATGTATAATGTCGCCAGGTCTACACGGCAGCCTGACAAGCAATGCTGGCTATTACTGACTGAATGTCAATGAGATTGTCATCATCTGAGCTGTCCCACTCAGAGTCTCGCTTGCGGGAGCCGGCCGCCTCCAGTGCACCTTGAAGCTGGTCTCTTGCCTCAGTGATGGCATTCATCTTGGCCTGAAATGTTAAAAAAGCAAATTTAAGCATGGGGTTGTAGCCAACCATTTAAACTAGCTAAAATTAAGCATTGCACAATCCAGATATATGTCAAATGCAACATGCAGAAATGCTTGACTGAAACATGTTGAAATTAATTTACACAAAAATTAGCAATTGTGAAGCCATCTTACTTGTGAATGCAAATAAAGCACTATCAAACCATTTCTTCCCAGTGATTATTGGTACTTGTGGCTGGGTTGGTTACTTTGAGAGTTTTGCAGACAAACCAATATTATTTGCTGTAAAATTGCTGTACTTGACACTAAGTGTTCTAAACTGGTAAGTGTGTGTTTAAGCAGACATCAGATCTATCCTATTCCCTCCTAAAACCACACCTCACACAATGCTGTGCTATTGGACCACAATGTCTGGTTTCCATGCTTAAAAAATTATTTCAGCTGCCCTTGAATTGCCACCACTTTGCTTCAGTTGTGACCAAACAGACCTTGATGCACATTTATCATGCAGTCATCAATGCACTGGGCCACCAGCTATCACCACCATTGGACTTTGCTCAGTCGGCAAGACTTTCAGCACTTGATGACCTATTGTATTGTCATTTACACAAGCTCCATATTTAATTATCCCAGCTCTACCCCAAGAGGCCTGAATAACAAATGCAACATAGACGCCTAGTCAAAGAGTCTCGTTTAGAATGCAGAGAGCCAGCACTCCTAAAACTGTCCCCTGAATACAAAGCATCATTTGACCATTCAACGACTTGAGTCAGGTGGAAACTGAGCCCTTGCGTGCCCAGCATCACCTCAGTACTACTTATTGACCCATGACTCGAGCTGCCTCAGAGATGATCTCTCACATGGTCAGCACTTGCCTCAGTACTAAATGGATATGAAACACTTGCCCAACTCAAATGATTAGAATGGACCCACCCTTGCAGTTATGCTATTCTGATACTGCTGTAATGATGCAGCCCTTGTTACTAGGCCAACACCTTAATTTTACATGAAAAACTTTGTACTTAGTTGTTCCAAGACACATATCTTTGTTGAATGTGCAGCCAGCATGATGCACAAACAGTTTTATAAATAACTTTATTATTTTCATAGCACAGAACATTGCATGTTTATTCATGCACTTAAGTAGCAGACACAGCATGTCTAGCCCAAAACTGTGAATACAATAAAGTCTCTTCCTTTCCCACCAAGATGGGAGAACACAGCTTGTTAGTATCTAGTTACGTGCAACCAAGACGCATACGGTACCCAGCTGACCCATCCCAACCCATCTCAACCACTGGTCTTCTCTGCCAAGCATCAGCTAACATTATGTGGTGCCTCTGATCCTGGCAACAACATTGGCTGGGGCAGACATGCTACAACCAAATCAGGTCGGTGTGTGCCAGGTCAGAGAAGTAGCACATTTTTCACCTCCAATTTTGACAGGACAGAATTCCAGATTTCCCATGCAACTACCATCCCATTTTCAGCCCATAAGTTCCCTTTGGTTTCCATTCCTGTGCCACAAATAAGTTATCAAGCTTCTGCTACTGGATTCTGTTATCCCCAAATCATGCCACATATTTCTCAGCATGGTCTTCAACACATGGGACAATGGGTTTAACTTTTTTGTGTTCACTCATCAGCTTCTTTGCTTGTTTGAATCAGCATCCATGCATGTGCACCATGTTCTCTCCACGGTCTTTCCACAACACCATTGACTGGAACACACCTGATACAAAACGATACAACATAAACACTCATGTGGATACCCTAGGTCGTATGTAACTAAAACCACGGTCTAAGCCCCACATCCGTGAGCGATCCGATAGCCAAGCTGATACGCGAATTGAGTAAAGAACGGCGCGTGAATGGGTAGGGTCTAGAAACCCGGCAATGACCCGACATGCAAGCTTTCCAAAACGGCTCAGCAATTTTTTACTTTGGTACCTGTGTGGTCCGACGGAGGGAAGAGCTACGCTGGCTGCAGGGTTTCGAGTATTGTCGTGCGGGGGAAAAGCTGTGAGGTATCAGCTGACATTGTGACGTCACTGAAAATGGTTTTGCATCGATCGGGATCGGGGTTCTTTCGGGCCGACTGAAGGCCATAAAGCTTTTGATTGTGATATGATGTCACTGGTATTCGGCTGGGTATGTGACGTCACTGGTCGTGAGTTTGTAAGGCTCTTTTGGGTCCACTGAATGACGTAATGCATCAGCTGGCCATGTGTCGTCACTGGTATTCGATTAAACATCAGGCGCGACCGGCCTCGGTCCATCTTTACTTTTCGTACCTGTCTGCTGCAAGCATTTGCGTGCCGCATAAAGGTTTGACCGAATCACCTCAATGTGTGACGTCCCTAATCATCGCTTCATACGAGTGCACTTAGGCCCCACGACCACGGTGTGTCATGGTCCGCGAAGTATCACCAGATAGCGTGGCGTCACTGGTATTCGAATAAATACTGGGCGCAACAGGCCGTGCTTCATTTTTACCTTTGTACCTGTCTACTGCAAGCATTGGCGTGCTGGATGAAAGCTGCCGAACCACCTGGGTGTGTGACGTCACTGGTCATGACTTCTACCGGTGCTTTTCGGCCAACTGAAGACCACAAGGTGTCAGCTAATGACGTCACTGCTATACGACTGATTGTAAGACGTCAATGGTCGTGGGTTTCCACGGGCCCTTTAGGACCGACGAAATGCCGTAAGGCATCAGCTGGCGATATGACGTCACTGGTATTTGGCTGAACATCAGGCAACAGGTCATGCTCCATTTATACCTTTCGTACATGTCTGCTGAAAGTACTGGCGGATTTTTTTGCGGCCAACTGAAGACCATAAAGCATCAGCTAACGATGTGACGTCACTGGCATTCGACTGTACGTGTCGCTGGTCATGAGATTTTACGGCCTCTTTTGGGCCGACGAAAGGTCATACGGCACTGACTGATGATGTGACGTCACTGGTATTCGAATGAACTTCGGGCGCGACAGGCCATGTTCTACCTTTATCTTTGGTACCTGTCCATTGCAAGCATTGCCGTGGAAGGCTCTGCCAAATTACCTGAGTGTGTACGTCACTGACCATTAATTTGTATACTCTTCTGAACCTACTATAGGCCACAAGGCATCAGCTGACGATATGATGTCACTGGGTCTCGACTAGACATCATGCGCAACAGGCCATGCTCTATCCAAGCCATGTTTCGTCTGTACCTTTCGCACCTATCTACTGCAAGTATTCGCGCGACACATAGGGGCTCTGCCGAATTACCTGAGCGTGTGGTGTAACTAGTTATGAGTTTACGCGGGTTTACTCTGGCTGACCGAAGGACATCAAGCATCAACTGACGATATGACGTCACTGGTATTCGACTAAACTCCAGGCGCGACAGGCCATGTTCCATCTTTACCTTTCGTACCTGTCTCTTGGAAGTATTAGCGTGCTGAATGAAAGCTCTGTCGAGTCTCCTGAGTAAGTAACGTCACTGGTCAAGAGCTTTTTACGGGACCATTTGTACCCCCAAACGGTAAAATGCATCAGCTAACGATATGTCGTCATTGGTGTCCGACTTAACATCAGGCGCGACAGGCCATGTTCTATCTCTACCTTTCGTACCCGTCTATTACGAGTATTGACGTGCTGAATTAAGGCTCTGTCGAGTCTCCTGGGCGTGTGACGTTACTGGTCATGAGTTTTTTCTGGCTCCTTGGAACCCTCTATAGGGAAAAATGCATCAGTTGACGACATGATGTCAATGGTGTTCGACTTAACATGAGGCGTAACAGGCCATGTCCCATCTTTGCCTTTCGTGCCTGTAAAGTATTGGTGCGTTAAATGATGGCTCTGCCGAGTCACCTGAGTGTGTGACGTCACTGGTCATTAATTTTTACCAACTATTTTTGGCTGAGCGAAAGCCATAAGTCATTAGCCAACGAAATGACGTCACTGGTAATCCACTGAGTGTGACGTCACTGGTCATGAGCTTTTACGGGCCTTTTTTGGCCGAGTTCAGGCCATTAGGCATCAGATAACGTTATGGCGTCACTTGTATTCGAATTCACATCAGTTGCAATAAGCCATGTTTCATCTTTACCTTTCGCACCTGCCTACTGCAAGTATTCGTGCGCTACAAAAAGGCTCTGTCGATTCGCCTGAGCGTGTAGTGTAACTGGTCATGAGTTTGTGCAGGTTTACTCGGGCTGACTGAAGGACATCAAGCATTAGCTGACGACATGACGTCACTGGTAATCGACTAAACTCCAGACGAATCATCTGAGTGGGTGACGTCGCTGGTCATGAGTTTATACGAATTCACTTGGGCCGCCCAAGGCCACAAAGCAACACCTCCCGTGAAGCATCACAGGATGATATGTCGTCACTGTTATTCGACTTAACATCAGGTCCAACATGCCACGTACTTTCTTTACCTTTCGTACCTGTCTATTAAAGGTATTGACGTGCTGAATGAAGGCTCCGTCAAATCTCCTGGGTGTGTGACGTCACTGGTCACGAGTTTTTTACGGGCTCTTTTGAACCCATTATAGGTTACAATGCATCAGGTGACGACATGACGTTACTGGTGCTCGACTAAACATCAGGCGCAACAGGTCATGTTCCATATTTGCCTTTCGTACCTGGCTGCTGCAAATATTCGCGTGCTATATGAAGGCTCCGCCGAATCACCTGAGTATGTGACGTCACTGATCATCAGTTGGTAGGAGGTCACTTGGCCACCTATGGCTACGAAATTCCTGCAGCAGAGGTGGGAGATGCACCATAGTTAAGCACACCAATTTTATTGTGCGCACAATTAAGTAACAACTTCAAACGCAACGGGCTGTTTCAACGACTAACATTTTGAACAAACGTAAACACAAAACAAAGGTGATCCCAGCCCACAAACCGACGTATATGCAAAACTATTCCGCCCGACATCACAGGATGCGCCCCTGAGCAGCTACGGTCCCGGAATGCCCCGATGGCTAAATAATAATCAAGGGCGCCGCCTAGCGGCCATAAGTCTGGGCCACAGCCCGAATATCAGTGACGTCATATTGTCAGGTGATGCTTGATGTCCTTCAGTCAGCCTGAGTAAGCCCGCGCAAACTCATGACCAGTTACACCACATGCTCAGGTGATTCGGCAGAGCCTTTATGTAGCGCGCGAATACTTGCAGTATAGAGGTGCGAAAGGCAAAGATGGAACATGGCCTGTTGCGCCTGAGATTAAGTCAAATACCAGTGATGTCATATCGTCAACTGATGTCGTGTACCCTATAGGTACAAAAAAGCAGCCCGTAAAGAACTCATGACCAGTGACATTACACACTCAAGAGATTTCACAGAGCTTCCCTTAAGCATGTCAATGCTTACAATAGACAGGTACGAAAGGTAAAGACAAACATGGCCTGTCGCGCCTGGTGTTAAGTTGAATACCAGTGACGTCACATCGCCAGATGATGCTTGATGTCCTTCAGTCAGCCCGAGTAAACCCGCGCAAACTCATAACCAGTCACACCACACGCTCAGGTGATTGGGCAGAGCCTTTATGTGGCGCGCGAATACTTGCAGGTAGATAGGTGCGGAAGGTAAAGATGAAACATGACATGTTGTATCTAATGCTTAATTGAATGCCAATGGCGTCATATCGTTACCTGATGCCTGATGGCATTAAGTCGGCCCAAAAAGGCCCGGGAAAACTCATGACCAATGGCGTCACACACTTAGTGGATTACCAGTGACGACATATCGCTAGATGATGCCTTATGGCTTTCACTCGGCCAACAATAGCCTGTAAAAACTCATGACGACGCACTCAGGTGATTCGGCAGAGCCATCATTAGGCTCGCCAATACTTTAACAGGCGCGAAAGGCAAAGATGGAACATGACATGTTGTGCCTGATGTTAAGTGGAACACCAGTGGCATCATATCGTCAGCTGAAGCATTATACCATATAGGGGGTTGAAAAGAGCCCGTAAGAACTCTTAACTAATGACGTGATATAACACGCGAACGCTTGCAGTAGACAGGTACGAAAGGTAAAGATGGAACATGGCCTGATGCGCTTGATGTTGAGTCGAATACCAGTGACGTCATATCATCCCTTGATGCTTCACAGGATATGATGCTTTGTTGCATTGGGCTGCCCAAGTGAACCTGTATAAACTCATGACCAGTGACGTCACGCACTCAGATGGTTCGGCATCACCTTGATA